CCGGGACTCCAGGATCATGACCTGAGCCGAAGGCAGTCGCTTAACCAACTGAGCCACCCAGGCGCCCAATTGTTTGTTTGTTTTAAGATCTTACTTATTTATTTGACAGAGAGACACAGCGAGAGAGGGAACACAAGCAGGGGGAGAGGGAGAGGGAGAAGCAGGCTTCCCGCCGAGCAAGGAGCCTGATGCGGGGCTAGATCTCAGGACCCTGGGATCATGACCTGAGCCGAAGGCAGATGCTTAACGACTGAGCCACCCAGGCGCCCCGGTTTTTAATTGTTTTTAAGATTTTTTAATTTTGGAAGCACCTGGGTGGCCCAGTTGGTTCAGCATCCAGCTCTTGATTTCAGCTCAGGTCATGTGAGAAAGTACCATTGTTTATATAATCTCTTATTGATGGTTACCTGGGTTGCTTTCAGTTTTTTGTTATTATGAACATTTTTGTGCTAGTCTTTTTGTGGACATACGTTTTTATATCTCTTGGGTAAATATATAGGAGTAGAATTACTGGTTCATGAAGTAGGTGTATATTTAGTTTTATAAGAAGCTGTCAGACAGAAATAAAAATATCACAAATAGTAGCTCGTCCTAAAAATCATTCTGTGAAAGACGAAACCATTCCCACTATTAGAATTTGTAGACAGGGTTTCTGGTATTGAGGAGACTACGGCTGGCAGTGCTAGTTTCCTTCTGACATTTTATAGTACATATTTTCCTTGGATTCAAACTATTTAACCATTCATCTGTATCTGTATTCATCTAAGTAGATCTTTATCATAGAACCAGCTTTTAAAATCAATTCAGAGAGAGGTGTGGGGAAGAGATGAATTTTGGAACGTATGGGATATCAGTAAATCAGATGTGACAGAGGGAGGTCGAGGGATTTAACAACAAAGAGGTTGTGTGTGTGTGTGTGTGTGAGAGAGAGAGAGAGAGAGAGAAGGGGGGAGGGGAGGGAGAGAGAAATACCAGTGGCTCCCCTGCCCCATGAATTTTAATTTTTTGAAAAGGTTGTTTTTAAGATGGTTCAAAATCAGAAGGTGTCTTATGTACTGAAATGGTCTCCAAAGAGTCTCCTCTTTTTGTTTAACAGGCCTCATAGTATTCCATTTTATGAATATGCCATCATTTATTTAATCACATTCCCCTCTCCTGTTGGTAAACATTCAGGTTATTTCCACTGTTTTTCTGTTGCAAACAGTGCTGCATTGAATAACTTTGTACATAGGGAACTTTAAAAGTATGGGTATATCTGTAAAATTCTCAAGTGGAATTGTGTCAAAGGGTTTGTGTGTTTGTAATTCTGCTGAATATTTATAGATCATATTAGAGTACCTGATTACTCAAACCCTTGTCAATGCATTGTTAAAGTTTTTTATATTTGCCTATCTGATAGGTGAAAACTGGTATCACAGTGTAGCTTTAATTTGGACTTCCCTAATCATGAGTGAGGTTAAGCAATTTTTTTTTTTTAATTTAAGAGAAGCATTTGCTTTTCTGTGCGTTGTCAGTTTCATATCTCTTGCCCATTTTTCTTTTGGATTGTTCCTTTTTTATTAATCTGTAGGAGTCCTTTATATATTGGGAAATAAGACATTTGTGAATGAGTTAGAAATATTTTTGAAGAACTCATTCTTTAAAAATTTAGAAGTAGTTAGTTGTTTTAGTGGAATGGTGGAAAAAGAAGCCAGATTGCCATGGAGACAACTCTTTCGAGAAAATTGGCTGCAAAGTAGAGTAGAGAGAATGCTAGCTGAAGGATTGATATAGAGTCAAAGCAGTTCTCCTTTTCTTTTAGAAATTCTTGTGTTTAAATGCTGTTATGAAAGGGAGGAGTTAAAGCTAGGAGATGGTGGTAGGGGATCTACAGGACAAGGTTCCTGATGGTCTGAGATTGTTGGGAGGAATTGCAGAGGAGGAGGAAATTCGTAAATATGTTGACTGGGAGTTACGGGTGTCATGCAGTCCAGTGTCTTCTATTTTCTCTGAAGTGAAGAAGGCAAGGCGAGTAGCTAAAAGTGTGGGAGGAGGTGGTTGGAGAGGAGAGAGAGGTTCTTTGAAATCACTGCTATGGAGAACTGGAGAGAGCTGAATAGGGAAATACAGAAAG